TTGTGTCTGCGTGTTCTTTGGATGTGTTTCACGGGCTGGACTAGGGAGCGAGAGAGAGAGATAGAGAGGAAGAAGTGGCGTTTTTACTGATGCTGAAGGACACCCAGTCCTCGATCACGAGGGAGGGAGTGTGCGGTGGGAGAATGGGAGGAAGTCTTTTTGCTGTTTGTTTGAAGGCAACCTGTTTTCTTCAGTCGAAATACAGCCTTAGTGAGAATCTCGTCGTGATGTTTTTTTCCGTCAACGAACACAAACTAAATGCTCAGAAACCGGCGGGTATTCAGTGTAGGTCTTCCGTCCCGCGCGTGAGGTATATCTTATAGAGCAGCATGGTGTACGCCCCTTCGTCCGTTCGGCTTCAGGAGCATACAGGGATCGAAAAACACACTGGAGATTCCACCGTGATCATCTACACTCTAACAAAAAGTGAGCACCCCCCTCCTAGTCATCATGCGCTTTGACGGCTGTAACTACCCCACAGGCTTACTTAACTACCCGCTGGGCTCGAGCCATTGAGAGTTAGCACCCCGTTGGCAGGTGACAAGCATGGGGTAGTCACGTTTTATAAACTCTTGACTTGAACATTCAAGTGCATGCAGTCATTCAATAGTAAAAGTCACTTCAAAAATCTCAAAAAGTACTTGAAACTTGTTTTCTTTCTGCGTTGGTTACCATTTATTCATATTTGAACCGGTCGAAACAGGCGTGTGGCTCAGTTCGCCTAAACTGGCAGAAAACATACATTGTACAGGCAACCTTGTTAGGCACCTACTAAAACCCGAGGCAGATAAAAAGCGTTGCAATTGTCCTTTTTGGTTCCTTCGCGGGTTTTACCATGTACTGATACCAAACAGCTGGCAGCTGGCGTCGTGCCCGAAGAATTTATTTAAATCTCTAGAAAAGCACAGGAAGCTACGCACAGGCGTGAGTTGACTGGAATGTTCGCCGGACGAGATACTCTTGTCGTTTTATTGTGCGGTTCAGTAAAGAGCGTGCTATCATTAAAGGTGTGATCAGTCAGTTCTGCGTGCAGATCAGTTCCAAATGGCCTCCTCAGTTCCGCCGAACTTGCACGCCTGTCATACCCAATTTTTTTGCTTTCAAGTGCAGTGAAGTATGAAGCATTGAACACGACTGAGGCCGGACCGGACGAACGTACACATATATCTGGGATCATGCCCGTGTATTACAGTATTTCTCTTTCTTGGGATATATGATTCGCCTTCACTGACTCATTTGGCACATTTCATCGAGCATACTCGATAAAAAATGCTTCAAACAAAAAGGCTTCGAACAAGTGTGTATCATCCAAGGTGGAGTACTTTGAAGGGGACTAGGATTTCAGGCCTTTCGGCACGCATTCCTTTTACCTATATAAAAAATTGCATGTAAATTTCCAAAAATAAGGCGTTGCCAAACATACACGTGCTATTTGGTTTAGATTTTTTTTTTTTTTTTTTAGAAAAAGTACTGTTGAAGAATTCAGCAGGTGCAGCGCAGAGAACTATGTTCTCGGCGTTCTTTGATGCTTGAGGCCGGTTCAGACACTTGCGTTGGAATGCGTTTGACAGCGTTGCGTCGAGAACCGAAAGCGACTTACCGGCACATCTGTGCTTCGCATGAAGCGTGGAGTCCAATCACGGAATCGTCTTGGCACACGATATAAGCAGCACGGATGTCCTGGTTTCTCGCTGCCGCAACGCAGTCAAACGCAACTGTCTGAACCAGGCTTCAGATAATTTAGCTTACGTATATCGCGTTCGCTGTGGGTGAAGGCACGTGGTGCGAGCGTATAGAACGCATATTTAAAAGACACGCGCTTGAGCAGAAACAATTGTAGCGAAAAGAAGAAAACTAAAACAACGCTTCGGTTAGGGTGCCTAGATGTCTGTCTGTCTCAGGGTGAAGACATCCATTGTTGTCCGGAATGTACCAGCGCGTGACGCTCTCGCGCACTCGGTGCGTGACTTGGGCGGTAAGATGGCGTCTATGCATCAGCCAAAGCTACGCGCTCGAGCTGAGTGACACCGGATTGCGCGCACTTCAAAATGCATAAAAAAACGATTGGGCGGAAAAATGGCTGAGATGTCACCACTCAAGCAAAAGCGCGCGTGTGTATGAAGGCACTCTAGCTTCGGTACGCTTCGGGGAGGACCGGCGGACGGGCTTCGCTAGAATCACCTGCACGCGCTCAGTGTACTCAACATTTACTCAACCGCCGCTGAAGAGAAGTAATTCGGATTTGTAAAAAGAGAAAAGAAAATGCATCATTGCAGATATTGGTTTCGATATTTAATACAATTCATTAAACAGGCGTCTGCATACTTGAAGTGTAGGCAAGCGAGAAAACGAAACTGATCAAAACGTGACGTGTAGCGACTATTCAATTTGATTTATAACTTGCAGGTCACATTTGCAATGGATTACATTAGAGATACGAGTGCTTTCCTAAGAGCAGTAGAGGAAAATGATATATACGGATAAATCTAACACAGTCTTTTTGTATTTATACAAAACATGACAGTGGTCACCATCCTAATCGGTCACAGAAAATACAGCAGTATATAAGCTGGTAGTTTCGACTAGTCGTGTGTATAGGAATGTAGAGCGTCAATATCTGATGTTGTACAGTGTTGCTGTTTGTGAACGCGTTGATGTATAATATTGTATGGTGTCTGTATGTGTGAAGTGTGGTGTGCATTATGTAGTACGTGCAAGTCCGGCGAGGCGCTCAAAGCAAAGACTGTTGGTTTCTTTTTTCTTAGTTTGAGCGCTGTCTCTTAGGTGGCGCGTGGCGCCGCCCAGTTCAAGGAGTCGCGCGTTTATGTGTCTACTTATTTGAGTGAAAAACATGGACACGCTCCATGGCTCCACGGAGCAGCCACAAAGGGTTCGGTTCTCGGCCTCTCGTTCCAGTGGGATCAGTCCCATAGCCAGTTGAATGGGTGTTCCGTGCGGTGAATAGTGCGTGCACAGACGCGGTGGGGATTACCAGAAACTTGAAAGTGGATAACGAATGCTAACAGGTGAGCAGGAACGTTGAACGATCGCCTCGCCACTGTCAACCCAAAACGCCGGATCACTTGCGGCAAGCACAGCAAGCAGATTCTCTGTTCAATAAAGACATCATTTCATTTGTCGCAATACGATTCCTTCTTTGAATGTTTTCTGGCCGCGAAGTTAATGCAGCCGGCCGCGCAAAAGCAGTCGCGGACAAACCCCCTCGAATGCACCGCCCCCCCCCCCCCCCTCACATCGCCGCCCCTACTCGTAATAGGTGCGGTGCCGGTGCTTCGAGGCGCGTTTTGGAGTGCTTTAGTGCGCACGGAAGGCAGCGAACGGGCATACGCACTTGAGAATCGTATTTTAGCGAAAAGCAGTCCAGCTCGCTAGGCCTTACTCGTATCGCTCCACTGTCGCTTGCCAGCCGCCACGTTGCTTTTGGGGGTGCTCACTGTGACTACTTGTTGATTGAATGCCGTGTGACTACCCATGGGGCCGTTAGGATTACTAAGGGTGGGTAGAGATATCTGTGACGGCTTCTGACTACCCCAAATGTAGTACCCAATAGGACTACCCTTTTGTTGAGAGTGTATGGTGAGACACCGTAACTGTGCTCAAGATTTCTCTACGGCGGCTGATGTTGGCTGCGCGTTTGAGGTCTCCGCTAAACATGCTACTGACAGTGTATATGTGCGCGTGCGTTACACGCGCTTGGTTTCAATTGTTGAACTACCGCACATCACATGAATTTACCCACCATCATTGTGAGTACGTCGAAATATATTTTCTGCACCGAAGAACTCGGTTGTCCCTGTTTAGTCTGATCCATTTTGTCTATGCTGCTTGCGCCCGGGCTTGGATAAACGTTGGTTCTTATCGTCTTTTTGCTTTGCAGCATGTATGTAAAAGGCGTGAAATCATTTCCAGTAACATTTTAAACTGTATTTTTGGTCTATGTTTCAAATTAGTTTGATGTCTACAAGGTTCAGATGCTGAGGGTTGTTGAAAGGCTCAAGGGTCTGAAGGGCTGAAGAAGTTTGAAGGGCTGAAGTGGTTTAAAGGGCTTAGGGGTTTAATGGTCTGAGAGGGCACCACAACGCATCAGGGCAGAAGTGTTATTCTCAATAGGCTTTGTATTTGTATTGCAGAACACGTTTTGCCGTGTTTGGAGAGATATCTCAGTAGTATATATTTTGGGGGTTATAACGAATGTATCGCAGTATTTGTATACCTTACTACTTTTTGGAATATAACTGTCCAGCCCTCTGTGCAAATTTAAGCTCCTCCCATAGGTAAGTAAGAAGAGTTCCCACTCTATGCGGTATTTATGACTGAAAAAGCAAATTTATTTTGAAAAAGCACGGAGTAACAAAAAAGCGTTAAGAGGTGTGTATCAGTTTGAAAGTATTCATAATATTTCAGAATACGGTACTTTATCTGATCACAAGGCCATTAAATATACAAAGTAAACTTAAAGTCAAGTGAGTAATTTCTGACTTTTTGCATTGTGGTTTTTAAACTGCATTTTACAAGCATCACGTCATGGACTTTTGTTTCAATAAAATTGTTATTCACTTAATATGGGGCTGCCTGAGAACACCAAATATATATACATCCTTTTATTATGTCTCTACATGGGTATGACAAATAAACTGTCGCTTTTAATTTTTATTACAAGAATTCAAGATTAAAAATCACTCTCTAAAAATGTATCTCCACGTATTAGTGGAAGATCAAATGAAACAGAAACCTTGGTAGAACAGCTGTAATTGTGTATTACAATATTTACGTTTCTGCTTGGTAAATATCTTAGAGAGGTCTTGGCTCTAACATTTGACTTTAACTAGGCAGCATTTCATTGGACTTCAATGTGATTTTCAATAGAAAGCCGAATAATCAATCCTCTATTTACGCAGGTACCCGCAGGGTGAGTTGAATTGCAGCACCGATGAAAGGGAAGTATTTTGCACAACGGAAACCTAGTCCAGTGAGTAGAATTAGGCTTTACGCGCCGCCAGGAGCAACATAAACTCCTGTGAACTTTCAAGAAAACAAACACCTTTTTTGGGATGGTATACTTTGATCTGAAAACCAGTATCTGCCACGGCTTGTTTCACCGCATCTTCAGTTAAGTTTGCGTGCACAAAATTAGTGGTACCGACAGGGTAGCTTTTTACTCCAACCGCGGTCACAAGGACAAGCAACCCGCCCGGTTTCGCGAGTGTTCCCACGTTAAAAAGTGCCGCTCGAAAAGACTCATGATCTGTTGTGGCAGAGGCCAGGCATCCATTGGACATAACGACATCGAAAGTTTCTCTGTGTTCCTCCGGGAGAACTCCGGGCTCCAGAACGTCACAAGGGACCACTTTACGGATGGCCAAGCGTGTGCGCTCGAGTATTTCAACTGCACCCTTCTTGATGTCTCTGTAAAGCAGAACGATAAAGTAGTGGTCAGCATTTATGCAGCTTGGATGGGTGACTGTCTGGTCAGCCGTCATGGCTGCGAGTTTAGACAATGTCATAAGTCATGCGCACTTTGTTAGTTCTGCCGCATGACTTATACTGGCCTTCTACCAATGTAGAGAATTTTATGATACACGGTCTCCGACATGATGAGTACCACATGAGGTTTTTCAGCTTTCACGCCGCAAGCGCGAGCTTCCCACAGTAGATCTTGCCACAGCGTCCTATTATCGATGTAAACAATTATGTTGATCGGTTCTGTAAACTCAAAAAGTGCTTGTTGTTCTGCCTAAGTTACCCTTCATATATATATATATATATATATATATATATATGTATACATATATATTGATAACAAAGAGGGGAGAGAGTAAATATGGAAGGTATTGCATTAACGTTAGCGGAAGGGAAAGAGGAAAAGAGCGGCCGAAAAATGGGGCCAGGAGTGGGGATCGAACCCGGAACCTGCGCCTATCCGGGGGGACGCCTTAACCGATTATTCGTTAAGGCATTTTAAGTTACTATTTTATTTGGTCGTGTCTAATATGGGGCCAAATCTCAGCACGTATTCGAAACCGCTGTGGTCTTTACAAAATAGGGTGATTTTTTTCGCGAAAAATATACGTATGATGCAGATACTTTAAGTGGATTCTCAAAAAAAAGTATTCGACTTATTGTTGCAGTTAATTAAAAAATCTAACGAGTTAGACTTAAAAGTTGCAAAAAAATAATGAGTTCCAATATCGCGAATCAAGTATCGCGATACTACCCATAACTGCATCAATAGCGTTGTTTTCTTCCAATTTTTGTAATTATTGTCCAATTAGGAACATCTTAATTAAAAATATGTGGTGCACAGTACATAAGATAAGTACATAAAAGAATGAGTACATAAGATAAGGGAGATTGGTCTTGAAGAAGTAAACATTTTAATGTACACTGTTGAATTGCTAAGTGCTCAGGTTTTTCTTTGCATGGGTTCTCACGTGGTATATTAGGATTATGCGTAGTATAGGCACGTACCAATAAACAACCGTAACAATAACTACCTATTACAACTTTTTATCGTTACTTTAATAGGTGTCGATAATGTACCTTCGAGGAAGCCTCACAACTTCTTCAGCGAACTTTATGCAAGTGATCCGAATCCACCTTAAATGTTTCCTCTTGTGACTATTATTTATACAAAAGAAACAACATAAAAAGTGAGTATATAATAAAACTAGGTTGAGTTTAAACATTTTTTTCGTTGTTTCTTGGGCTGACCCTTGTCAATATTCAACTTTGCACAAGGTTGACTCATGTTGTCGTTTTTCCTTTTGGCAGACGAGTTTCGGCGTCTGCTTTTAAACAATCATGGTCCACATCCACTAAATGGATAAAATATGTCCTGACGTAAAGAAGCTCTATGTGGAGGTTGACAAAAACCAAATATTCCGTGCACAAATAAAAAATGCCTTCAAGATCCCTTACCAATTATGTATTTCGTAAGTGTATCCACCGTTTGACTCTAAATATTAGGCAATGCTCTTTTTCTCTACGCAAAAGTCTCCTGTGATTCACACAAATTTCGAAACGAGAGGGAAGCACCCCAGGAGGACTGAAGCTGCAGTTTCGCTGCCTACCCCTCGCCGTTGTAACAAGGAGCAGCGGTATGGGCAAGTATTTTCGCTAGTGTTGAGCGTATAGTAGATTTTGATTTCAAATCGAATAGTGATTTTGGCCAAAATATTTTCGGACAGAATAAAATATAGTTTCGGTGCAAACCATTTGGCCAAAATTTTGCGTAAAGAGAAAATATTGTATTCTTAAAATAATTAAAATAGCAGTTTTGTGAATGAATGAACTCAAGATTTACTCGAGCAAACGTTTTATACTATACAGATGAGGTACACACATTAAGAGTTTATATTGATAAATAATAGAAAAAAAAAACGAATGAGGAACGCAGCCTTTCAAAACACTGCTGCCTAACATATACATTTTGCATAATAGGCACAATTTAAATTTAAAAATGTTACTGCACTTTACATATCAACACTCAAAGGGTTTGCTTTTTTTTAAATACGCCAAGCATGCGTGTGCACCATCCAGTTTTGAAAATATGGTCTCCTCGAAAACACCGTGCGAAGCTCGCTTTGCAACAACGCAACTGCGCGATGCGGCGAGGAGCCGAGGCACGCGGAATAGCTGTGAAGCTTCACGGATATAGCTTCTCCGTAGCGCGCCAGTGCCCGGTAAGAGGCGCTCAACAAGGCTCATTTGCTGTGATCTACACATCAAAAAGTATGAATATCGCAGTTCATCTCGAAGCAAAGATCCAATAGTGTTATTATTTGAAACTACCGCGAGAGCCAAAGGCATCTAACTTACTTTAAATTCACGGTACACATCGTTTTTTCAACGTAGCGCGCTGGGATTTACTTAAGAGGTGCGTCTAGGTGGTGAAAATATGCAGACAAAATATCCAGTGATGAACTTACCTCGCTCAAAGACGAAAAAAGACGAAACTGTTTGGGGCGATCTTCGGCACCATTTGGCAGATGATGCCATACGGGGCTGGCTACTTGTATAGGCTGCCGACAGATGGCTCAATGTAAGGCACGAGAGGATGCGGCGCGTCGACCGATCCTTTCTTTACAAGAAGTGGGAGGTCCTGGGGGACTTAAATACCTGTTTCCATAATTAGTTTATTTTGAAAAGATATCTCACATTTAAAATTGTACGTTAGAGATACTCGCGCCGCCTTAAAGGAGGCGTATTGAAAACTCACGAAAAATCGTCTGCTGAACTCGGTGCCGGTACGCCGTCGACGCTTCGCACATCTGTCAGCAGCATTTTGCAGACGGCCTGCAATCTCCACAAAATCCTAGCCACACCTCAACTGTAAATCGCAGTGCAACACGTTAAGAAGCCAATTTTCACAGTCTGCTTAATGGGGCTAGATGATTTCGGCCCTCGCGGTACAATTCAAATATTTGTTCAACACTAATATATGCGGTCAGCGACATTATGAGAAGGCACATTTAGTGATAGCCAAACAGAACCTCAAGACAAGCCGGGAAGGCCATATCATCTCTACCTTTGACACTAACAAGAGCATTCCCTTTGTGTTTTCCTTCTACTGTAAAAACTGGAAACGACGGAGCGCTATTCGATTGAAACCACAATTCGCACGCCCCTACCTAGTAAGATCCCTTGAGTGGCAAGATACTTTTATTTTTCTTTGCAAATTTTTGTCTGATGCAGAGATTTGTGTGTAGAATATGGTACCCCTTCCGGAGTTTGTTTTTTACGTCATTGCAGGTAGCAAGGACTTGTCATCCTTTTTATCTTAAGGAACAACTTCCTAGTTGTGACTGACATTCATATTTCCGTTAATAAATTCTGGTTATGACACACACGCTGTTATTTGACAATATCTGAAATAAGGCATAGGGTACATCAACATGGCATCGACGTTTTCGAACATAAGTGGCCGCGCGCAAAAATAAAACATGTCATGTAAAATTAAAATTGCAGATGCCATGAACAGTTGTCATCACGCTACAAAATGTTTCTATAGCTCCACATAAAGAACACAGCCAGGTTGATTTCGCCTAACACCTTCTAAATACCAATATTTTAGTGCTGGATTTCCTCTGTACCTTATCATATTTCATGCACGGTAGAGAATACACAGACACAAGTGCTATGTTAGCGCTCGCCCCGACGTCACGTTCAGTTGGTGAGAGCACGTGTTGGCAGCTGAATGCTAGTGCAGCACTTGTTTCCAGTGTGCGCATTATGCTGCCTACTGAAAGGTGACAAAATCCAGCACCACTAAGGCCTTGCTAGCTAGGAAAGCTCCTAGGCTCCTTTGTCTCTTGATTATCAGAGAAAAGCTTGTGATGACGAAAAAAATTAAAGCCGTTTATAACCCCCTGCAACGCCGACTCGGAGCGCAGCTCTTGAGGAGGAGGAGAGAAAAGTACTGAGGGAAGGGTAGGCCCCTCCTCCTTCCTCAACCTCCCTGCTACTCCCCCTCCCCTTCTCCTCCCTTCCCCCTCCTGCCCACCTTCTGCTCCTTCACCTCCTCCATCTACCCAAGCCCTCCTCCTCCTCCTCCATCGTCCTCCCCTTCCCCCTCCTCCAACCCGCGTGTACATTATGGGAAACGTCTTATAATGCAACGCGCGCGTCACCGCGGTGTATTATGGATAGTTCCCCATAATGCACCGCGGAATTACGCCGACAGCGACGCCGACGCGTTTCGTCGACGCGTTATGCCGACGCGTTACGGTTACGGCGACGCCAACGCGTCACACCGACGCGTCACGCCGACGCGTCACGCCGACGCGTTACGCCGACGCGTCACGCCGACGCGTTACGCCGACGCAATGCGCCAACGCGTTAAGCCCTAACCACATAGAGCGTATTTGTGACGTATTTACGGGCGTTTTGGCGGGCGTGATCCCGACGTACAGCGGGCGTCGGAATGAGCGTTTCCTCGGTCGGCGTAAATACGCGCGTATTCGACGATCCGACCAAGACAGATCTCGGCGCTTCGGCGTATTTCGGCGTGTAGTATCCGGAAGCGTATGGCGCTGTGCCGGCCAATCAGCTCCCGAGTTGACAGCCGGAAGTTGGTCGAGAATCGGCTTGCCTAGCTATGCGGCCGGCTGGCTGGCTGGACTCAGCCGCCGAAATGGCAGCTCGTTTGTCGCGTTCGCCAGTTTACTGGCGAACTGTACGAAATCGCTATATTTCTTTCGAACGAGCGATGAACGATTAAAAGAGAAGAAAAGACCATATATGTAGCGGGCGATGTGAAAATAATTACAAAAGGTAGTGCTTTGAGCAGAGATCGCGGCCGTACTCCTGCCGGGAGTTCTTGGCAACTTGACGTTTGCAACGAACATTTATGAAACAGGTGTTAGCAAATTAGGCTTTGGTTGCTGATTAACATTAAGTTATTTCTGTCCCCTTTGCTGACCGTAATAATCTAGCAGCCGATCTACATTTTGCCTCTTTTCATGAAAAGCGGGAGTCGGGCTACATTGCCCCAAACGCCAAAGAGACATCGACGAAAAGCGTCGTGTGTGCTTTGGCGACGTTCCCCTCTTCCCTTCTGTGAAAAAAACGCCCGCCAAATCCCGTAATTAAGCCCGTTGAAACGCGTGTAAATTCGTCGAGAATACGACCTATGTTTGTCAGCCTTCACGGTTACGGCGACGCCGACGTGTTACGGTTACGGCGACGCCGACGCGTCACGCCGACGGGTGATGCCGACGCGTTACGGTTACGGCAACGCCGAAGCGTCACGCCGACGCGTAGCGGTTACGCCGACGGCGACGGCGACGCCGACAATGCTCAATCCGGAAACGGGCGCCTGAGAGCTGCGTTCTAAAAACATTCGACTGAAGGTGGAGGGCTGGCATAATGAATAGGGTGGGTTTATGAACTGAGGGTTAGGGTGCAAACGAGCTGGTGGTAGGTGAGACTATTCAGTTTGTCCGCTAGATTTAGCTGGAAAATTGACGTCGCGCGACCTCGACACCAATTCAATTCCCCAATTCCCTTCTAAATTTAGCGGGGTATTGAACTGGCCTCGAGGTCACGTGACGTCAATTTTGCCGCTAAATCTAACAATGAAACTGGGTTTGTTCATAGGTGACGTGACACCAAGTCCATCTGACGTCACTTTCTTAGCTAAATCTAGCGGGGAAACTGAATTGCTGTTGAGGTCACGTGGCGTCAATTTTTCAGCTAAGTTTAGCGGGGAAAATGAGGGAAGAGGGGAGGGTATGGAGGAAGAGGAGGGGAGGGTACGGAGGAGGGGGATGGGAGGTTAGGCAGCAGGAGGAGGGGAGGGTACGGAGGAGGAAAGGAAGAAGAGAAGGAGGGGAGTGGAGGAGCTGGAGGAGGGGAGGAGAGGTTGCAGAAAAGGAGGAGAGGCATGCCGTCCCCTCCATCCCCTCCCCCCCTCCTCCTCAAGAGCTGCGCTCTAATTTCGTGTTAGAAATATTTGTAAACCCTATTGAAAAAAAAAAACACAGCAAGGATATCAAGCTGGCAAGCTGGTTTAGCTGGTTTCTAAGCTGGTTCAAACTGGTTCAAGGTGGTCTAGGTACTAATCAAGCTGGTTCAGACCGGTTCAAGCTGGTTCAAGCTGGTTCAAGCTGGTTCGAGCTGGTTCGAGTTGGCACTGTAGCTGGGCAAGCTGGTACTTGACCTGGTTCAAGTTTGTCATGCTGGTTTGAGCTGGTTCTGAATCTGGCTCAAGCTCGTCCAAGCTGGCCAAGCTGGTCTTGCTGGGAGCGTGCACGCCAAGGTCGGCGAGAGCTTGTCGAACTGGCATTGCCGGGAACGCGCGCGCCAAGGTCGGTGGTGTGGGAACGATGCCACGACCTGTTCTTTGTCCTCTCGTTTTTGGTAGACATCCGGGCGCTTTAGGCACGCTGCGAGCTTCCTTTCTGTGTGAGAAAAGAGAGGGAGAGAGTGGTAGGAACGGGGAATTTGAGACACTTTTGGCTATCTTGGGAAGATTTTCAAAGGGACGGCTGTGTGCGCGTTGTTTGGCGACTACTCGAATAGCGGTGCAAGCGAAGTTGGATTTAAGGAGACAGCGAGCGGCACTCCGTTCAGCGCGGAAAGAAGTCGGATGCCCTGACTGGGGCGTCGTTTCGTGTCTTCGAACATCTGTGTGCTCGTGAATGACGGTGGTGCCGAGGAGTATCGCCAATGCCATCCAAGACAGACGGAATTCCTTGCGTCTGCCGACTATGCAATAGGACGCTTCGCCCCCGTTACGGGCGGGACCCAGGCTCGCTTTTCTCATCCGTGTAGTAGTTTTTATTGTTATTGCCTGGTTTTGGCTTGAGTCCAGTATTTTTTGTGTTGAGAGATAAGCAATCTAGTTTTAATAGCATTGTTTGTTTTACACCGAGAACCACTGTCTGTGCGCCGGTTAGTACTGTGTCAGCGCAGTGGATGTGTAGCGTGTGAGCTCATGTGAGCAGACCTTGAATACGAAAATAATAAATTAGATGCCGAGCTGGCTTTTCTGAAGAGTTTGGCTTGTTTATCCTGTGTGTTCATTTCAACTGATTAAACTGGTGGGGAAGTACACCAGCCTAACCAGCATGAGCAGTTCACCCAGCGTGATCCACCATTTGCCCAGCATTCACCCAGCACGACCCAGCATCCAACCAGCTCAACCAGCACAGCAAGCTGGGCATGTTGGAGCAATAACCCAGCATGAAGCTGAGATGTTGGGACCAGGATGAAGCTGGGATGCTGGGACTAGCATGAAGCTGGGATGCTGGGACCAGCTTGTGCTTTTTTTTCAATAGGGAGAGCCTCAATTTTTTTTAATTACATGACCCTGCCCTCATGCACATGAGTATGTGCCTTCAGCATTGTCACCATTTGTTGTAAATCATCTTGATATGCTATCTCCCGCCGCCTGAGCCAGGCGTGTGACGTATCAACAACAGCAGCGTTATGTCTTTCCTCGCCCTTTCTCCCTTCCCAACTCCCTCTCTCTTGCTTGCGTTAAATACTCTGTTCACGGACGAATAAACGTTCTTTTCCAGTCCCCCAGCGCTGGTCTCGTCAGTCGTCCACGCACCGTATGTGCGCTTGCTACGTAGCAGTGGCGACGAGCAAGACAGGAACCCATGCACTAAAAGAAGATCACGGCGAGCAAAGCCACGGTACGGCCTTTCAAGAACCTGCAGCAATGACAACGCCAGCCTTGGCTCACCACCATCTTCCCGAGTATGACGGCGAAAGGGACAACTGGAGAGCGTACGTCATCAAGGCAGAAGCTTATTTCGAGGCAACGGGAGTTACCGACACAGCGAGAAAAAGGGCGTTGCTCGTAGCAGCGTTAAACACAAAGACTGTGCAGATCCTAGCTGGACGAGTCGCTCCGAAGAAACCCAACAGTCTGACCTACGAAGAAGTAGTTGCAACACTGAATGAATATTTCGACCCAAAGCGCCACGAGACCACCGTAAGCTTCCGGTTCTTCAATCGATGTCAGCACGAAGGTGAGCCTTTACAACATTTCCTTGTCGACATCCGACGCATTGCAGACAACTGCAATTTCGGCAGCATGCTGGAACGAATGCTCCGCGACCGTATAGTCTGTGGCGTCAGATCAAAGGCCTTGCAAAAACAGCTTTTGGCAAAAGCAAACTTGACTTTGGAAGAGGCCGAAGCGATAGCACTATCAGCCGAAACGGCAGATGACGACGCAAATAAGATATCGGGCGATAAAACCACCGTACTGAAGGTTGACGCGCAGCGCGTGTTGACGAACGAGCCGACTCTAAAATGCGGGCGTTGCGGAAGTAAGAAGCACAACAGCCACGCATGCCGCTGGGCCAAGAGCAGGTGCTATCACTGTGGTAGGCCGGGTCATCTTGCGAAAATGTGCTCGAGCGACGCTCCGAGGAAACGCGAAACGGCGTCGACACAAGGCATGCAGGGACGAGCACTGGCGATGGCGGAAGACTGTGCGGAGGGGAACGTAGACGAAGCGATGCACCTCTGGACTTTGACTTCTTCTCGAAAGTGGCAATTAGAGCCCCCAATTCACAGGACATTCACGTGGTGCGGTGTCGACATGCCAATGCTGATAGACACGGGGTCGCCCGTCTGTGTTGTGCCCCGCGAAATTTATGAAAAGAACTGGGAGAGATGGCCGCCATTGCAACCTTCAGGTGTCAAGCTGTCCTGTTATCTTGGCAAGCTCCCCGTCCTAGGACAATTGGACATGAAGGTAGCCTACAAGGGTGCCGTAGTAGAGTGCCCCCTAATTGTATTGAATTGCCCCGGTCCTAGTCTATGCGGGCGGGATCTACTGTTTCAGCTGAGCAACGCAGGGTCACCTATTCTTCACATGACTGCGGAAGACGGATCGCCAACGAGTCTCCCGGCCGCGGACGACATCGCCAACGAGTTTCAAGACGTCTTCAGTGCGGAACTCGGCTGCATCAGCGGCCCCCCTGTACACCTTCAACTCAAGGAGGGAGCTACACCAAAGTTCTGTAAGGCACGATCCATCCCTTTTGCTCTCCGTGATAAGGTTTCTCAAGAACTAGACAGACTGGTAGCAATTGGCGTGTTATCACCGGTTGCGCATGCGGAGTGGGCTACGCCCATTGTGCCTGTCTTAAAGAAAGATGGAACAGTTCGGATTTGCGTCGATTTCAAGATCACGTTAAATCCTGTATGCGAACAGGAGCAGTACCCATTGCCGGTGATTGACGACACGTTTGCGTGCCTAAACGGGGGAGAGTACTTCAGTACTCTCGATCTTCGTGACGCGTATAACCAAGTACCGCTTGACGAAGAATCACAGAAGCTATGCGTAATCAACACGCATCGAGGGCTATTTTGCTTCAAGAGGCTGCCTTTTGGCATAGCGTCTGCCCCAGCCATCTTTCAACGTAAAATCGAAACAGTCCTGCAGGGACTACCAGGCGTGCAAGCTTACCTCGATGATGTGCTGGTTGCGGAGCGACAAGGAAGTAACGATACTCTGCGAGCGGTACTGCAGCGTTTCCGCGAGCACGGTGTAAAACTCCGGCGAGACAAATGCAAATTTAGTCAGCCTTCAGTCACGTATTTAGGGCACCAAATCGACAAAGACGGCCTACATCCCACTGAGAAACATGTGGAAGCAATCGCCCAGGCTCCTAACCCGACAAATGTGCAGGAAGAACTTGTAGTTGGGCTAGTTGGTAAACGTTGGTATTCATGTTACAAGGCGCAAAAACACGGACACAAGAGAGAAAGAGACAAAACAGGCGCCACTCACAACTATATTTGAAAAGTGCAGAAAGAAAGGAATACAATCCTCGTCATCTTCATCTCGTCCACGCACGCGCTTAGCCATGTGACATACGCTTATCGCCCAATTTACAAAAACTTATCAAATAATCTAACCTCGGCATTATAGAGTGCAACAGATGTGTCACTTACGCATTGTGCACCCCTTTTTCTAATGAAATACGCCTCTAATAACTCGCGCGCTTTTTGGCACTTGCCTCTGCCCAGAATCGCTGTCTCAGAAAGACGTGGCTCACACCGGCATTTGCTGCAGTGTTCAGGCAAATGTGCCCCATCATTCTTCTTTAAATTTTGCGCGTGCTCCCTTAGTCGGTCGTTCGCACACCTGCCCGTCTGTCCTACGTAGGACTTCCCACACGTAAGGGGGATTTCATAAACCACCCCCGTGGCACAATCAACATACGGCCTGGCATGTTTTGTGGTGCAGCCTTGCCTCTTACCGCTGCCACCGGTGATACGAGAGCATAGTTGGCCGAGTTTGCTCGGTGCTGAGAACACGAGCGGCACTCCAAAGCGGTTCGCCACCTTCTTGAGGTTGTGCGACATTCTGTGCACATAGGGTACCACCTCAGGTCTCATTCGACACCGCGCCGTTTTCGCCTTTGCCGTCGTGGTATGGCCTTTTACCTTTTGAAGAATGCCTTCTGCGACACTCGTCACGACCTTTTCAGGGTAGCCCGCTGACAATAGCCTTGTCACCTGGTTCTTAAAGCTTGTCTTCATCCGGTGTGAGCACGACCTTTTAAGAGCCGACTCTAGGCATAGCATAGCGATACCTCTTTTTATCACCTTAGAGTGCGCAGAATCATACGGCAAGAGTTCCTTTTGGGACCGCGGGGCGTACATCCAACACGTGTGTCCTACTAAAACCTTAAAACTTAAATCTAAAAACTGTAAACTACCCTGCTTAGGCAGTTCATGGGTGAAAGTTAATCCTTTCCCATTGAGTCTAAAGGCTTCTAAAACAGAGTTTATATCGTCAAGGTACGTCAAGGACGAACGTTCATTAAAAAGAATCAAAAAATCATCCACGTATCTAAACACTTTAAAAACGTTAAAATCACTGAGAGTGATTTTAACGTCACTGAGTGGCGCCTGTTTTGTCTCTTTCTCTCTTGTGTCCGTGTTTTTGCGCCTTGTAACATGAATACCAAATGTGCAGGAACTTCGCTCGTTTTTGGGCATGCTGTCGTATTACTCCAAGTTCCTGCCGAATATGTCATCCGTGCTTGCACCCTTGTACCAGTTGCTGGGGAAAAATGCGCGTTGGGTCTGGAGAGAAGCTCAGCAGGCCGCCTTTGCCAACGCAAAGCAGTGCTTACTTGCGGCAAGGGTACTCGTTCACTACGACCCCGCGAAACCATTGAAACTGGAGTGTGATGCTTCTCCGCATGGCATCGGTGCTGTGCTGTTTCATACGGTCGGAAAAGTAAACCGGCCCATTGGCTTCCGGTCGCGAACGCTGACCAGTGCCGAGCGGAATTACTCTCAGCTAGAACGGGAGGCCTTGGCTCTGGTTTTTGGGGTGTCGAAATTTCGCGACTATCTCTTAAACAGAGATTTCACCTTGGTCACAGATCATCAGCCGCTCCTGGGCCTGCTGAAAGCGGACAAGCCTACGCCGGCGTTGGCCGCAGCCCGAATACAGCGCTGGGCTCTCTACCTCGGTGGATTTCGCTACAAACTTCAGTATTCGCCCGGTAAGCTGCTACTAAACGCCGACCCACTCAGCCGGCTACCGCTGCACACTCCAGAACCACCAGCAAGGAGCGAACCCCCCGAGTATGTTCACGCGCTGGCAAGTTTCGATGATGGCACTGTGTCTGTCGAGGAACTCAAACAGCTAACTGCGCAGGACGTGTTACTAACGAAGGTTGTGGAGTATACGAAGCACGGCTGGCCTACACATGTAAAGGACGCGGGATTGGGGCCATTCTCGGAACGCCGGTTGGAACTATCTGTGGCTCACGGGTTGGTATACTGGGGGCATCGAGTTGTTGTTCCCACACAAGCACGAGAACGGGTACTACACATGTTGCATGAAACGCATCAAGGGTCCTCGGCCATGAAGGCGGTTGCCAGATCGGCATTCTGGTGGCCGGGACTAGACCGAGAGATAGAACACCTCTCAGCGTCGTGCCACAATTGCGTTCAAAACCTGCCTATGCCGGCCTCTGCTCAACCCATCAGTTGGCCAGCCGTTAAGGAAAAATGGTCGAGGCTCCACGCCGATTTCGCCGGGCCGGTCGCAGGCAGCATGATACTGGTAGTCGTGGATGCTGCCACTAAGTGGATTGAAGCCGTGCCCATGAGGCAGGCAAGCACGTCATCTACGATTGCCAGCTTGCGCAGCATTTTTGCCAGATTCGGTGTTCCACGCACAATAGTTACGGACAACGGCACGCAGTTCACTAGCGAAGAATTCGCCATCTTTGCTAAGAACAATAACATCGCACACCTACGTACGGCTGTGTATCACCCACAGTCTAACGGACTTGCTGAACGAGCTGTTCGTACGATTAAGGAAGCGCTAAAGAAGATGAGCGAAGGCACACTTGAAGAGAAGCTGGTCAAAGTTCTTTTCAACTACAGGAGAACGCCGTGCCACGAGGGAAAATCCCCTTCCGAACTTCTATTCGGCTACTTGATCCGCTCGCGCTTGGACTCGTGTTTCCCGCCTTTCCCAGGGTCAACCCAGGAGACGGAAGAGTGGACACTGCCGCCCGACACAGCCGTGTACGCCCGTAACTACGGCCAGGGGGAGAAATGGACACCAGGGAAAGTGCAGTCCACTACAGGGTCACGCATGGTCACCATACAAACGCCTACTGGGGTGGTTCGACGTCACATAGACCAAGTGCGTTCCAGGCCGAGCCCGGCATCCGCTCGGAGCGGCGTTCGAGACCAAGACGAGGGGAGCCCTTCGGCTGCAGCTGCGCCCGCACCGACCGACAACGAAGGCGATTTGAACAAGCAGCCTACAGACCAGGTGGCGCCGGCACAAGCGTCGCCGCCTATCCAGAAGGCGCAGGAACCCCCTCAAGCTTTGCGACGATCTACTCGGGAAAGGAAGCCTGTACAGCGTCTTCAATACTAAGGGAGGAGAAATGTTGTAAATCATCTTGATATGCTATCTCCCGCCGCCTGAGCCAGGCGTGTGACGTATCAACAACAGCAGCGTTATGTCTTTCCTCGCCCTTTCTCCCTTCCCAACTCCCTCTCTCTTGCTTGCGTTAAATACTCTGTTCACGGACGAATAAACGTTCTTTTCCAGTCCCCCAGCGCTGGTCTCGTCAGTCGTCCACGCACCGTATGTGCGCTTGCTACGTAGCTCCATTTTAATGACCGACGGCTGGCTGGATCTAAGAGCCCATCGCTTCTGGCACCCCGGGGCCGTGAGCATAGCGGTGAACAGAGTATGAAACTGTTCCCTAATGAAAAAAAAAGAAACAGCTTAAGCTGGTCCCTGCTTCAAGCTGGGTTATTGCCCCAGCATGCCCAGCCTGTCATCGTGTTCATTTGGTTGGTCTTGTCATACTGGTCATGCTGGTTGATCTGGTTATACTGGTCATGCTGGTTGATCTGGCCCCAGCTTCGAGCTGGGTTATCACCCAAGCCTGTCCAGTTTGGCATGCTGGTCATGTTGGTTGATCTGGTCCCAGCTTCAAGCTGGGTTATAGCCCCAGCATGCCCAGTTTGGCATGCTGGTCATACTGGTTCAAATGGTCCTGCTGGGGGAGTTCTCAACCAGTTTAACCTGTTTAAATTAATACAGAGGATAAACAAGATGAGCCCTTCAGAAGAAGAAACTTGGCATTCAATTTATTATTTTCGTACTTGCGGCCGCCTCACATGAACTCAGATGCCACATATCCTCGGCGCTAACACAGTACTAACCGACGCACAGACAGTGGTTCTCGGCGCAAAGCCCTTCAGAAGAAGAAACTTGGCATCCAATTTATTATTTTCGTACTTGCGGCCGCCTCACATGAACTCAGATGCCACATATCCTCGGCGCTAACACAGTACTAACCGACGCACAGACAGTGGTTCTCGGCGCAAAGCCAACAATGTTAATAAAACCAGATTGCTTATCTTTTAACACGAAAAATACTAGACACACGCCAAAAACAGGCAATAGCAAAAGAAAGTACTACACGGATGAGAGAAGCGAACCTGGGTCCCGCCAGTCATGGGGGCAAAGCGGCAAGTTGCGTGGTCGGCAGAGGCGAGGAAATCCGTGTGGCTTGGATGGCATTGGCGATACTCCTCGGCACCACCGTCATTCACGATCACACACACGTTCGAAGACACGAAGCGACCCCTCAGTCGGGACGTCCGACATCTTCCCGCACTGAACGGACTGCCGCTCGCTGTCTCCTCAAAACCCGCTTCGCTTGCACCGTCGTTCAAGTAGTCTCCAAACAACGCGCTCATAGCCGTCCCTTCGAAAATCTGCCCAAGAGAGCCAAACCCGTCTCAAATTCTCCGTTCCTACGCTCTCTCTCTCTCTTTTCTCGCACACAAAGGTAGCTTGCAGCTCACCTGACACGCCCGGTCGTCTGCCGAAAATGAGAGGACAAAGAACAGGACGTGGCCTCGTTCCAGCCTAAGCCGACCTTGGCGCTCGCGCTCCCAGCAACGCCAGTTCGGCTATCTGTAGCCTGCCTTGGCGTGCGCGCTCCCTGCAGGACCAGCTTGACCACCACGATTATTAGTTCGACCAGATTCACCAGCTTGTCTCCCAGCATGACCAGCTTGTCTCCGAGCTTGACCCCATTGGCTCCATGGAAAACCAGTTTGACCAGTTAGGACCAGACTGGCTCCCAGCTACACCAGGTTGAATCTAAAACGAAAATCTACTTAGACCATTCTGGGTTTTACTTAAACCAGACTGCCCAGCTTAAATTCTAGCTTGCCCAGCTTAAACCAGCTTGATAGACAGTTAAAAGAATTTGAGTACCACATTAACCAGATTGACCACCTTAGTTACCAGCTTGGCCAGTTTGATTTTCATGCTGTTTTTTCAATAGGGTTGTACTCTATGATGATGCTTCTAAGATCCTCTGATAGTGTCATCATATTGTTTACTGATTTTCAAGCGGTTAAAAAATTAATATGCACGCTAAAAGAGTAGCGACTTTAAAAATTAGGTGCTTTGTAGCTTGACCTTGGTCAAGCATTCTTATTGTTCAAATTAGTTCAGTTTTGTCACAAAAAAACTTCTCTTCACCAAGAGTGTATAATGCAGCACTCTGATGTTGATAAGAAGTTTTGTTATACTGTAGTCATTTTCAATTCTCACAGATGTTGTTTATAGTGGTCTTGCAATATTTTCCTAAATAACGAATAGGAAAGTACAGCGACACTAAAAAGGGTTTTTCTAGTTGCTTGACTTTTGCCAAGCATTTTTAATTTTTTTTTAAATTTTAATCTTTGTCCCGAGAGAAAAAAAGAAAGCGAAGACTCTTAAGTCAGCTTACGTGTACGAATGCGAAAGAAATCCTACACGCAGCGCATTCCTACAAGCAGCGGGCCCCGTCTTCCTTTTTCACATGACGCTCTGGCGGTGACATCAAGCTCAACCACTGCGCAGGGGCGGCGCCCACGCCTACTCCACGGCTTCTGTGACGATGCGTCTACGTTGCTGTGCTTTTCTTAGTGATTTATTTCTGAGGCACGTCTACTTTGACCTTGACCGCCCCGACGGCTTCCTTGACAAAGCATCTGCGTTGCACTGCTTTTAGCCAATGGAAGTTTAGGTGCCGTTTCGCTCAACCAATGAGAATAAACCGACCTCACAAAGCGTTCCGCGCATGCGTGAAGCCGCCATAACTTTAGTTTTCAGAAGGCAGGTGACAGTGCCCGAGACAGCTCGTGCCTTCTCGTGCTCTAAACGCGCAGACCTCCGGCAAGGTTAACGCACGCGCAGAAAGACTAAAGTTCCCTCGAGGCATTGCGGCAGCGGTGGCCAAGTCAAACTGACTGGTGAGATCGGTGTATTGAGATGCAGTTTTGCGCTGCCACAAAATGAACTTAGGAGCTGTTACTTACGCTACAGAGAACGCTGGTCTCGTTCCATGCGAAATTTAATGGTTTCGCATTGCAACTTCTTCAAGAGTCTATAATAGAACTGCGTAATGTTTACATGCGTGCTGTGATATCGTATTTTTATTTTCCATAATCGGCGTTTAAATTGCCAAAGGAGAATTGTTTTAAAAGTCGGACACAGAAAGGAAAAGGGTAGAGGCGTTTGAACGCTGTATTTTAGTCGTTTTGCTTTAGTCATACTTTGTTATTTCATATATAAACATGCTAATCATTTTAGCCTCATTATTCTATATTCCAGGGGTTTTCGGCCGTTCCAGAGCTCAGTGCACCTCCTGTGCAGCGTCTCAAACTTTCTGGCTCTTGTTGGCAATCTGCGAGCGCCTGCAGTACATCGTCGCTACTTGAATGCGAGTATTTTATGAACCGCGGCGAACATGGCGTCGGCAATGGTGAACCGCCTGAGCTATCAGACGGAAAGTTGCGATGCTCCGAGAGCGCTTTTTGAAAGGCGCTGCGTAGGGTACGCCGAGCGCTGGAACAGCTTCGCAGGCGTTCCAAGGGCAAAAGATTCGTGACGAGAAAGCAGCGCCTTGCATCTTCAGCACACTAACAGTGCTACAAAATCCCCCACTCACACTTCAGCAGAGCGAGCGCGCTCGGCCAAATCGCGCCGCAGTCGGCTCCTGTTTCGCGATTGCTACGTCGTTGCTTAGCCTACTCTGATGACATGTTCACTGACATTCAAAACAGCTCTCTCGAGGCTGCATGCGGGTTAAACGTGCGAGCCCGTGCCGCCGCTCTGTACTTCAGCATGAAACGGGCTCACCGCCTAAAGGGGTGTTCAAACAGGATACAACAAAACATGTCGGGCGACACGACTCCGACAAATCGTGCGGCGCTCCGCTTCCGGTCATTTTTTCTTTGCCGGGGGAAACTTCCCCCCGTCACGGCGGCCTTGCTCTGGTCATCACGTGGATGCGGAGAGCCACTCACACGCTCTGTTGGCTGTCGGTGAATCGCTCAATGCCTCCGCCGTTTTTCAGGTCCCGAAAACGGCAAAGAGAATGACACGAAGGCGTCCTTCCCTTTTCCTGCTTGAAGTGAAACGCACGCTTCGACGAAGGAAGGTGAGTGACTCTCCGGACCCACGGGATGAGCAGATCAAGTCCGGCGCGGGGGAAACGAGCGAGATTTGACGGGGGGGAATTCCCGCCGGCAAAAAGAACGGCCGGAAGCGGAGCGCCAAACGATTAATGGGGGTCGTGTGGCCTGTCGATCTTTGTAGTGTCCTGTTTGGACGCCCCTTAGCGGGGGAGCCGTTTGATTAACCCGGTGCAGTTTGACGGTCACCGGTCAGCCGCTTGTGCAAAATGGTCACCCTTTTGAACAAATGGGCTACCCGCTTGCTCAAACAAGTCGGCGGTTTGCCAAAAAAAGTGTCCGAATTGACCCAACGAGTGACCCAAACGAGTAGCCCATTCGACCAAATGGACGACCCGGATTGCTCAAACGGGTGACCGGTATGGCTCCAAGGGGTGACCCGTTTGACAAACGTGTGACCAGTATGGCTAAATTTTTACCGATATGAACATGTTTACTTTCATATAGAAGCCGAGCTCTAATTAAAATATGTAAATCTCGTCAATATGTAGTGGTCTTCAGTATTATCCCAGAGGGATAACTACTCCAATTCGGGGGACTGAGAGGACTTTAGCGATAATCGAAGGTAACGACAAGGTGGGAGGGAATGGGATAAACAGGGGATTGATTTTTCACTGTTCTGTTTTCTTTGTATACTGTTAAATTTCGCGCCTGATGTATGCCCCCTTGGGGTGCTTCTGAGGCACAAATAAATTAAATTAAATGAAATTATTAAGATACACTACTGTAGCAATAATTTTTGTAGACTCCTACATACCTGTAGCCTTCCAAGGCAGCAATCTGCTCAGCACGGTGGGTCCAGTCAATGGCGTCTTCACTCTTGTCAAGCCACTTGTTGAGTTCAAGCCTGCTGCCTTCGACTAGGTCGCTCAGCACGATGTGTTTGAATCGACTGGAGGCCAAGAGCGCGCCCAAGAGGATCGGGCCACTGCCCACATCCAAGAGAGTCTCACCATGAGCCAGATCTATAAAAAACAGACCACCGTTTCATACTGCTTCATTACCAACAAATTCAGGCATACGATTTCTTTGCCAAAATTTGAAAGAGGCATCACAGTTCAGAAACATGCCGCCGTTCGTTCTCTAAATTAATGTGTCCACATAAGCCAGGTGAGATACAAAACGCATCGCCAAATACAGAATGAATGTCGCAAGGGGACCTATATCAAAGCTATACCTTAATAATGGCCGTGTAAATCGGGCAGAAGTAGGCGGTCCGCCTGACAGGGGTATAACGTTATTGTAGACCGGAGACTCTAGAGTCTAAATTTGGAAAAGGCCTCGAGTGAAATCATGGGGATCCTTTGTAATTCAATAACCTTCACCTTTCGCGGATCCTGCTAACGTTGTCTGATGTGGGCATTCGTTGTACCTGGCAGGGGCGGATTCATGGTCAGGTTTGGCCGGGGGAGGAGGGGGGGGGGGGGCCGGAGGGCAGGGTTGCAGGGAGTTGGCGCTACGGTCGAAACGTGGCTCAGATCTCTCTGGCTCACCTAATGTTTTTATGTCACTAAAAACTAATATTTTTCTTTATAAAAAAAACTGGTGTTAGTCGATACTTTATTAGCAGCAAGCGTGCCTTGGGAGCTTTAAGGTAAAGCGGTCGGCTCCCCGCCCCCCCCCCCCCCCCACATGTGCCTATGGTACCTGGGCTGCGTACGTTGTCGCAATGCCTTCTAGAAAGTAAAGCCGTAGTGCTTAATTTTCGGTGTCACCTGAACAAGAACACTGGGCACAGTTTGAACAGGTGCGCAAAATCAGCGTTGGACGGTGATTTAAGTCACAGTAATAAAGCTAAGAGTCACAAACGAACGCTTGCACAACACGAGTGTTCCAATTTTGTCGCGTTTGAAGTTTCTTTGAGTGAAGGCGAAATTCTAGCATTACGCTCTGCAGGTGTTAGATGTAGCGTTGCGGCGAAAATAGCTGGTAGAGAGCAGGAGACCCATAAAGCGTTTAAAACCCTCGACGCTTTCGGTATCTTCTCGCACCATATAACGCAAACCCGGCTCATAATGCACGTGATTAATATGAAGTGGTTGAATGAACACTTAAGTCTAGTCAAATAGTTGCAAACCTTTGAGGAACCTTTTCATTCTATTGGGGCGTTTTCTCTGCAGTTATGTCTCGTTTATATAGACCCCGTTAATATGAACACCCCAAATTATGTAAGAAATTTTGAGAGACCAATATTTCGGTGTGCAACTCTGTCCCCGTTAAAATGGAAACCAGCACTCTAGAGCATAGTGTCCCCGAGATATGTGGTGGAAAGAGCAGCGGCGACCTACAATGGCCAGCGTGAAGACGGATGGCGTTGATATCCGCAAGGCCGAAGCAGAGTGCTGCAGTTGAATTACGTAGAAGAACCAGTCGAAAACGCTTGGCGAAGCTGTGAGGCAAGCCGAGAAGAGAGTCAAGGAGATAGGAGCAAGGCAAGGCGAGAGGAATAAATAAAGATGTCGGGGGAGAAGCGGAAACGGTCAGAGATAATCTCATGTGTCAAACGTAAACAAACAGAGCTTTCTGCTCATTAACCAAAACAGTTATTTGCGAATTGTAGTGTGACACCTTCCGCATCTGGTAGTTAGTGAGAGGGGAGTAAAAAAAAAAAACCTTGCCATTGATCTCGCGAAGTCGACGGCTCATAGAATTCCGAAAGACTCCGACAAAAGGATGAGCATGGCAACATCCGGCTGAAGACTTTGCTTACGGCCAGTTGCGGTTTTCGAACCACTGGAGGAAGCTATCGACATCTTATTCTTAAAAATGCCTTTGTGGGCAATGCTGTGAGCAACAAGATGCCACAAGACAACGAAAAAAACATTTTGGCACCACACTGGGTAAGCTTATAATTCTGAGTACCTTTTTTTTAAACGCGATGTAATAAAGCTTTCTTATATCTGAGCTGTTCCTCTAAAACTTCTTGTTTTTTTTAAACTGTCGTTGTAGTCATTCTCATGCAATTCAGCATCAAAAGTAAAGCACCGGTACATTTCAATTGACTTTATTTTAATATTCGTAATTTGCACGGCTTCATCGAGGAATTCAGCACTTCAACTACTCGAGGCGATGGCTCAGCAGGTTTAAAGCAAGCCATGAAATTTAAAGCCATTGTATTTGTGGAGAGGGTGGTGTAGTGATGTAGGATTTATGCTTGCGCGGGACCACCATATACTGCGGTGGGGACAAAGAAGAGGAAGAATAATAAAGCCAGTAAATGGGAATGGCTGCTCCATTTTCATTGCGCCTGCCGCGGTAGCACTATGTGTATTCATCACACTTGCAACGAGGTGTGCCAGGCAGTCTCCAACTACGGTTCTGGTAAGTATCCACCCTCCAGGACCTCACAGTGCGCCGGCGCTACACCACAAGCAGCGAGCTTCACAGCCAAGCCTACGGTTCTCCACTAACGATGACCCTGATCCCAACCTCAGAGCACCCTTTTGACTTGAATGCCACTTACGCAACTAATATCGGCTCCGAATGGCGAAAGTGTATAACTCGCTTCGAAAACTTCTTCATCGCTTTCGATGTGAAGAATGACGTCTGCTCTGCCATCGACGACGTGATCACAGCGCTGAACGGATCAGCAGTTTTCAGCAAACTTGATCTAAAAGATGGGTACCACCAACTAGAACTTGATAATGAATCAAGAACAATCACAGAATTTGCAACACACAACAAACTGTACTGCTACAAACGACTTATATTTGGAATTAATGCAGCTGCCGAGATTGTCCAAAAAACCATTCGTCAAGTGCACTCTACGGCATATCTCACGTCCTCAACATCAGTGATGAAGTACTCGTGTTTGGCAAGTCAAAGGATGAGCATGATCAGGCTCTCCAAGCAACTCACGAAAGGTTGACAGAGAACGGCCTCACAGTTAATAAAAAAAAAAAATATCTCTTCGCACAAAGAACACTCTGTTTTCTCGGCGATATCTTCTCTGCTTCTGGAATCAGAAAAGACCCCCAGAAGGTTGCGGCACTAAAAAAAATGCCAGCCCCTGCCAACGCTCATGAAGTTCGAAGTCTCCTTGTCGCTGTAAATTACAGCGGACGCTTCCTACCTAACCGTTCTGACATAACATACCCTCTTCGGCTTGTCACAAAAAAGGACACCAAGTGGGTGAGGGGACCAGAAGAGCAAGCTGCTTTGGATACGCTGAAAGAAAAGCTGTCCGAATTACCCAACCTTGTCTTTTTGACGGTACAAGGGAAATAATTGTCATCGTCGACGCGTCGCCTGTTGGCCTTGGAGCCATCCTAGCACAGAAGGAAGACAACAACACCGAGATTGTCGCGTATGCTAGTCGCGCTTTGACCCCCACTGAAGCACGGTACTTCAGATTGAACGTGAATTGCTTGCATTCGTCTGGGGGCTGAGCATTTTCATCTGTATTTTTACGGCAACAGCGTTCTTATTCGTACAGACCACAAACCCCTTGTGTCCATCCTCACCAGCCCACAGGCGTGTCCGTCTGCACGAATTGAACGCCTCGTGTTGAGACTTCAACAGTAGAACTTTAGAGTGTGGCACACGTGTGGAATCAAAACAACTCGGATTACTGTCTCGCCACCCCATGCCGCGCACTCCTGTTGACGCCCGCCTGGCTCATAGCACTAATGCATATGTCAACTTCATCGCCCACCACAACATTTCCGAAGCCATGACTCATGCAGAAGTAGCGGCCGCTACTATAAACGACCCTTATATACAAAAGGTGATTCCGGCCCTCAGCAATCCTGCCAGGTGGAACGACCCAGCACTCAGGGAGTTTATATCCGTATAGCAGGAGCTCTCTCTGACGGTCAGCGGCCTACTACTGAAAGGAAATTGCCTCGTTCTACCGGCTTCTTTCCAGCAACAGGCGATATCTCTCGCTCACATTGGGTACCAGGGCTTCCCCAAAACGAAAGCGCTCATGAAGCGAAAAGTATCGTTTCCCCACTTAGACAGAATTGTACAAACTACTCTCAAGAACTGTATGGCATGTCAGGCAACCAGGGTTAGGTGGTATCGTGATACAAATGTATCGCGATAGTATTTTAGAAATACATTTCGTTTCTGTATTTCTGTACCGCGATACATTTTTTCCACCAGTATCTATATTCGTGTATCAGAATACATTTGGAATGTTTCTTTGTATCACGATACAATCAGGATGAAATGTATTTCGTTACATTTCTTAGGAAATACTCCCCCTCTCCCCCCTCCCCCAAAAAAAACAAACAAAAAAAAAACACAAGTCCAAACGCTCTTTTTTTTTACTTCTGAGGGCACCAGGTTCAAAGAGATGCTGAAACATCGTTACTATGCTGACCAACGTTCCTTCCGATTCTCCAAACTGTTTTTCTATGCATCCTGTTATCTCTTATGAGAAGTGTTGCGTAGTCGGGGATTCGAACCAGGTGACGTGCCAGGAGTGGAGTCGGAGCATCTTCTGGCGCAGGTCTCTAGGTCGGGATTTCATGAGTCATAGCTTACTGGCAGCCAATGACCGCTGCTGACCGTCTCTGTTGCCTTAGCGTACACAGTACACCCATCCTGCAAAGCTGAGTCACAGTCCGTTGCAGCACGAGCCTGGCGGTCGTTGACTTGAAATAGTAGGATGACTCACGCAGTGAAGTTCAACAAATGTCCGAATGCGTCTGCGCCAGTAATATTGCACGGGTCTAGGGTACGTCATCAGCCGACGTGAACATGACCCGCTGCCCTGGTGATCCGAAAGCCAGGAAGGAGGCCAGACGTGGCCTCGCTGTGCCGACCCGGATTTTGTACACCTGCAACTCGTCTCGAGCGCGCTGTTTCTCGGAGAGCTCGCACCTGTGCAGGCAATATCAGGTCGCAACCCCCGATGTATCTGTTTGGATGATGCTAGGTGAAACTTGAGGACTGCAATTTATGCGTCGGTGGTGGAGGGTCGGCAAGAAGGACGTTCACAACAGGGATGCCACCGTAT